AGACTCCAACGTACACGCGGTGCGCACGTTTGCAAGCTATATTTTAGTCTAGTTTTGACTCCCAGACCCTCGGCACGTCGGGTTTCTTTTATTAATAGTTCTCTGCTTTTATTAAAACGTTATTGAGAGTCTCTTTAGTTTAGCTTTTTATTTATTTTAAAAATTAATATAAAATTTTTATAAAAATAATAATTTTTAAAATTAAATGAAAACTTTTTGATAAACAGTTTGATAAAATAAATTATATAAATTATAATTTTTATTAAAATTATTTTTAAAAAATTTATACTATATTCAATTATTTAATAAATTAAAATAAATAAATTTACTTTGAATTTATATATTATTTCAAATGTTAAAATAAAAAAAATTTCAGAATAATTTTTAAATTTTGTATAGTAGTAATAATATTATATATTTTTTGATCTACCAAGCAATTAAACTATGATGTTTCAATTTTTAAAAAAAAATAAAATAAAAAAATGATATATTTGACATTAAAATTCTTTTTGGTAAACTTGAATGTAATTTTAAATTTTAGATTTTTTTTTAATTTTTATAAAAATAAAAATTTTACTATTCTATTATCAGAGGTTTTTTTTTTTGTTAAGAGTCTTTGTTAATAGAGAGGTAGAGGAGAAAAATATTGTGATCGGAGAAGGGTGATTTGTAGAATGAGGGACATCCATTTACAAAAGAGGGACTTTTTTTTGAAATGTTGACATATTTTTAAAATAAGAGAATAGAAAACTCATATTTAGAGTTTTTTATAAGTTTTTTTTTGTAAAATTTTGTTTTTAACAAAAATAAAATATTTTTATTTTTTAAATTTTAATCAAAATTATAAAGAGATTCATTAGTTTTTAACATGAATACCTGCTTCCAACAAATTTTTCTATTGAATATATAGATATAGTCATTAATCAACAGTCAATTGGATGATGTGACAAAAAAATAGAAATATAATTTTATTATTGTTTACTTTTAAATTTTATTATTATATAATTTTATTAATTTTTATTAATTAAAAAAAAAGCTCCCGTATAGGAGAATTGATCCTCCCTTGGAAGCATTGATCGATGCTCCCTTTTCTTTGGGAGTGATCCGTGCTCTTTATTTTTTTAAATATAATAATAATATTTTAAATTAATAAAAAAAATAATATTTTAATTTTTTTATAATCTTTGTTAATAATATTTGTATTCTTAAAGGGGAGTATTTATTTTAAAAATTAATAAATTTATTTAAAATTTCGATTAAAACTTTTGAGATGTATGGGTATTTGTTCCT